GGCACCCCAACACTGCACATTTTGCATGTCTCCTTTCTCTGACACACCAATTTCAGGTCTTGGAGTCTCTACTAATGAGCTGATGACCTGAATCAGGTGTGTTTGATTAAGGAGACATGCAAAACGTGCAGTGTTGGGGTGCCTCCAGGACCAGGGTTGGGAACCACTGCTCTAACCTGTTAACTTGGGCACTGAAAAAATCCCTCATATGCACTGCAATTGGAGTATGTGTGAAATGGGCGTAACAATGAGCTTTTGTTTTGACCTGTCTTTATATGCATCTAATATTTTGTAATAAAGAGTTCCTTCACATTAAAAACTAACGTGACATTGTTCAAAATGGGTGAAACCTGGGTGAAATACTTGGGATGAGATGTGTTTCTATTGAGCTTTTAGATTCTATTTATAAATATGCAGCATCAAATGATGTATAAATGAATAGGGATTGAATATTGGGGCAAAATGAGTGCTATAAAACTCATTATTTTGAATTAGTTTTTATTTTTATATTAGTAATTTTGTGCTTTTGTCATTTTTATTCGTTTTATTTTTTAATTTTATTCTAGTTTTAGTTATTTTAATACTTCTATTTATTTCATTACAAGTTTAAGTTTTTCTTTTACTTGATTTCAGCTTTCATTTTAATAAACAAAAAATAATAGTTTTAGTTAACTAACAACACTGAGTACAGCGTGTGCTACAATTACAACAGTTGGGTTATCTTGCACAAAAAGCATTTTAGAACCTTGTGACTTCTTTAAAATGACTGTAAAATTAATTTAATAAAAGCATGGTCATAATAACCTAATATATGGCCACAGGTGATGCCTTGTCATGGATTTTAGTATTATTAGTGGGGATTCATTAGTGAAGATCATTTAAATTCAGTACTAGGTTCAGTGTTGATGTGAGAAACTGACCCAGATTGCTTAGTACCGCATTTTGTCATGTTTTTATTTTTGACTTCACCATCATCAGCCAAAATATGCTGTAATTATGTAAAGATATTATGTACTTAGATGGAAAAAAATCTAATATTGTATCTGATATTGTGACAGACTATCAGCCTTTAGTTTGCCGTGATTCCTTAATGCAGCTTTTGTCTTTCTGTAGCTGAACTAATATGCTTTGAAACTTGCATGTTTTTAGTGTAACAGTATTTGAATTTTTATCCCGGGTTAAGTTCCCTTCTCTTTAATGAAGTGTAGCACAGTTGTATGAGAGCCTCTGCCTAAGTCTCCTCTGTGTTTCTGCTTTGTCTAGGCAGATGATGACCCCATCATGGGATTCCATCAGAGCTTCATCCTGAAGAACATTAACGAGGCGTGGGTTTGCACCAATGACATGTTCCGCCTGGCGCTGCACAATTTTGGTTAAACGCCCCATGGCTAGCAGGAAGGAAGTGGGGGAAGGTGGAGGATGGGGTTCCGCCCTGATGACGCCCGAACCTGTCAATCAGCCCTTCATTCATCACACTCAAGAGAAACGCCAGCGGATTACAGCAGTCAATCACAGAAAACATGCAGGCATATACAGTACTGCCTCTACTCCAGAAATGACATGTTTCTTTGCTGAAAGCCCACACATCCATCAAACTGACCCTTTTCCTTCGCCAACCTGCATGATGATGGGGAGCTTAAATATCAGAGGACACCCTGACCAGGACAAATACGTATTACCCTAGCCTCGGCTGTTTGATATTTACATTTTAGTTGCTGATTTTGACTTTGAAATAACAACCGTCTTACTTTCTTTCTTTCTTCTGAAGTGTGTTCAGCTTGTTTTTAGAAAATGCTCATTGAATCGTTTAATCTCTTTGTTTTCGCCCCACTTGAAAATTGGTGCGATGTCAGGTTGCTCTAGCTATCCAAAGAACACCACCCTAATCTCCCCTTCCCCTCAGACCAGTGTGCTTCCCACTTTCTGCTCACTGCTCTCTTTGACAATAATTTCCAAGGCACGATACACAATAAAACCTTTGACTTTTTCTTAACAACGTCATCATCTTGTTCATCCCCCTGTCTGGTTTTGCGTCTACCTTTTTTCCCCTTTTCTATGCTTGCCTGTTTGTGTTTTTGATACTGCCTCATATTAGATTCTCACAATAAGATTATAGATTTATTTGAGCAGAGCAGAACACAATGGAGCTGTTATTTCTCTTTTAACAGGTGGCCAGTGTTTCCTGAAGCAGTTGTTTAGACTTTAAAAAAGAATGTTGGTTTATTTGGTAGAACATTGCTATTATTAGCAAAGGATTACGTCATTATTTTGCCAAATTGTTCCTAACCCTAAAAATGGTAGAATCAGAAGTGGATGCTCTTGTTAAAAAGAGCAAAAATCATAAGCATCCGCCACTTATGCCACATAAATAAAACAAGTTTTGCTAAAGGTTAAGAAAGAGTTTGTAACAAGAAAAAAAAAAGCCCAGATGAATCTTCTCGGTGCGTTTATTCTTTGATGTACCCTTTCTGAGAGGTTTTATTTTCCCTGTTTTCCATTTATTTAAATCTTGAAGATGTGGGATGTGATGTTTCATACGCTTGTATGAATGTAAATGTCATCGAGTTTGTAGTGTGGCCAAAGCTGTTATTGCCTTCCATATTTAGGCTTATACTTTGACATTTTCAGTATAAGAAGGATCACAGACACAAAGCCTGAAACATGACTAGTTGTGGGGAAAAAATATGACTATTTTCTCATTTCCACAAAATGTTTACACTAAGGGAGTTATGTTCATTGTTTAGGATTAGAAAATCATATTCACAATATATGAAGGCTTTTGTGCCAAGTGATGGTACAGATATTTTAGAAAGATGTCTTCTGCGTTGTAGCTTTTTGCACTGAAATATCTAGACAGATCTGCTAGAACATCAGTATAATGAGTCACATTCTTGCATTATATTTTTGCTGGAATACATGTATTGTACACGTACTTCATGCTTGCTTGACCCTGCAGATATCCACTTTCTTTGTGGTTTAAGGGGAAGAGCAAAAGAAGACTTGATTTTCCCAACAAAAGCAACAGTGATACAATGTGAATACAGTAAGAGACTACTTCAGCTGCCTACATGTATGTGGAAATAAAGGAGATCAAAGTAAAGTGTGCTGTTATGTTATTTCTATCGGTGGAGGGAACTAGTTGAAGGTGATTTTCTGACAACCGCTTATATAAAAAAAGTAATTATAATAAGTTTAATGATTATAATAACACGCCAGTAAAACATAAATATGAATTTGTGATCTCTAAAATCAGATAAATTCAAGAGTGATGTAGTGCCTGTCAAGTTAGGCGATTCACTCCGGAACGGAAGAAATCCTGCCAGCAGAGGCGGGGGAATGAAATGCAGGGAACGCTCAACGGAAGTTGACGGACGATTGCAAGCTTTTATGAGGGGCGAGTTCAGACACAAAATTAAACTATTGAGAATTTGATAGTTTCCAGTGATTTAATCCCCCTTTCCCTACTCTATGGCTTCTGGTTCCAACATGGACATAGAGGGCGCGACCCAGCACCTTCGGGACATCTTAAAACTGGATCGTCCCGGTAATTCGGCCGGTAAGTTGCCGGGGAAGGGAGCAGCTAGGCCGCGGCGCGATGATGCTGCGCAGCGCTGGATTTCAGCGCGAGCCACCTGACTACAGTCGCTCAAAAACGCGGGACAGCGCTAACTATGTTTTATAAGTGACAAACATCATGTTTTGTGTATTAATGTGATTGAATAAAAGGAGGGGTAATGTAGCAATGTAAGGGCTAAACTCGCAGCTGCTTTGCTCAGACAGAAAGTGTTGAGTATTAATTGCGACATGAGCATAAATGTTATTCAAGAGTTTAATTATATTTTATATGCATCGGTATGCAATGACTTGATAACCGTGACATAGGTTTCTGAGAGAAGACATGTCAAGTCAAAAAGACGGTTTCAAAACCTATTCAACTTTTTGTGCATCATAACAAGGTTTTGCCTTGTGTTAGAACAATACATATACAATATGTTACACACATCGTATTTATCAGGTATGCACACCTCATATATCATATATACTTATATATTTATTTATTTATTTTGAAGAAAAAAAAAACATAATATTGGGAGGGAAAATGTAAGTCATATTAGTTGTATTGAAAGTCATTAAAGTAATAGTCAGAGAGTGCACCAGTGCATTTTTACGACTTGATTTATCAGTCATTTCATTCCACAGAGCCCTCTTTGGTAGAGAGCCAGAGAAAACCATCTTTCAATGGAGAGTTGAATGGCGTTCTTGGAGCGGATCTTATTGGAGCAGGAGGACTTGCGACAATGGTGGAGCCAACTGCTCACTACTCAGACAAACTTAATGGACAGGACACACAGACTATGTATGTTTTGCTGTCATTAACACTGTATATTATGTTCAACGCATTCTTTAGCAAACCATTAATGCTATCATATTGTCATTATCTTCTTATGAGCTGTATTTATTTTATATAGTAGACTTAAAATGTTTTGCTTTATAATATTTACACTACCATTCAAAGGTTTGGGATCTATACGATTTTTAAATGAGTCTCTTATGGTTTGTACTTTTAATATTGTTTTCTATTTTAATATATTTCAACATATATTTAAAAATAATAATTTATTCCTGTGATGAAAAAGCTGAATTTTCAGTAGTTATTTTCCGCAATTATTTTTCAATTTTCAGTTATTACTCCAGTCTTCAGTGTCACATGATCATTCAAAAGTCATTCTGACATGCTGTTTTGGTGCACAAGAAACATTTTTTTCTTATTAATGTTAAAGGTCCCATATTGTCAAAACTGAAATTTTCTGGCTTTTTTCACGATTACTGAGGTCTAGGTTACCTACCATATAAGTTTAAAAACAGTCAGTCCACAGTAAAATGCACACAGCCTGCTTAAAGTTCTAGCTATTTTTCACGAACAGTTGTGACTTCCATAAAAAGTTGACGTCAGAACTACACAGCCACTGGCTTCAGTCACCACCCCGAGCACCGCCCGCCGTCCCACTCTCCTTTTGCCAAACCCCCAGACAACATCGAGTCCGTGCTTTTGCTGAGCAAGGACAACACGGAAACATGTCGAAAAGGTTAACTTTAACCACTAAACCAGATCGGCCGACCTGTAACGTTACACTCTCACTCAAAGGATGGACGATCTGACAGGATTGTTACTATGAGGTGGATCACATCTAACGTGTATA